ATTTTATATTTCTGGGTTTTATCAAAGGATTTAGTTAATGCCCTTAGGAAAAAAAAGGCCTGATTTTTACTTAAATCGGGAAAACATTCTTCTGCATCATGACAATGCTCCATCCCACACTTCAGCAGAGACTGTACTCACAATCAACCTACAGCTAGGAGCCGAAATTCTGCCCCACCCACTGTACTCACCAGACCTCGCACCTTGCGACTTTGCGCTCTTCCCAAGACTGAAAAGCGATATACGAGGGAGAAAATTTCATGACATTAGAGAGCTGAAGTCAGTAGTAAACCAGAAACTAGCATCTTATCAACAGGAGTGGTATCATTCCATATTTCACTCCTGGGTACATCGCCATGAAAAGTGTATTGCTGCAGGTGGAGAGTACTTTGAAAAGTCATGACGCGATGACGTTACAGGACGTCAAAATACTGAACCGGCAACAGCGCCGGGTTACCATACCTTGTGTTATTCATTCTACGATAAAATTATGGTTTTGCAGAGTACACAGTTGAAATTTTCAGAGTACACAGTTGAAATTTTCAGAATAACTTCAACTTTTGTTAATTCAATTCGACAATAAATTTTATTAACCCAGCTAGCATAGTATTTTTTTTTTATAGCGCCAGTCCACGAACTTTTTGATAACCCCTCGTATGTGCATTTTGATTCAAAGAAACGAATAATTATACATTTGTAAAAAATGGAGAGAAGATCCAGAGACCATGAAAAATGAACTTTTCCCCCAAAAAAATCCAACTGTTTCACTGCAGTGCTTTTTTTGTCCTTTTAAAATCCATTGTATGTGTAGCGGTTATAGCTCAGTAAGATGGGCTACCTGTTCAGTGCACAAAAAATGAAAAGTTTTTGGTTCGAGCCTTGCATGGGGCGTTAATTATTTTTTTTTACTGCAAACAATCAAGTAATTTGTCGGTTTCATTTTATGTACTGATGTATTAAAATTTAGAATTATATAAATTTTGGTTCAGTTTGGTCCTAGAGTATGGAAGGGAATTACCGCCAAAAGTCTATGTATCTTGCTTTTATTCTTATTCTGACTACTTCTTTATGCTTTGTTATTATTGTAATTATATGTCACTTTATTTTTTTCATATTCGTCTTTATTACATTTCACTTTGACTTTTATCCTTCTTCATTTTGCCCTTACTTCTATGTTGCTTTATTCTTGTAAATTCATTTTACTTTCTTTTAAATTGAAACAGTTTCTTAAATGATTATCTCTATTACGAACGTGAATTCAATCACACAAAGAATGAAGCATATTCAATGAAGACGAATACAAGTTGTCAAAATTTAGTGCCGCATTATAACGCTAGGTGGCAGGGGTGTTCGCTACGAGTGTTGGTAAAACTAGGTAAGCAAACCCGGGCCGGGGTTATTCGAGATTTTTCAATTTTCTGCCTTAATACTTTATCAATCGAACTTCTGAAGGCCGAATCCAATCAATTGATCCAATGATGGAAACTCCATATTTATTTTCTCTGGGCACACAGGAATAACGGCCTCTTTTTTTCAGACATAGCTTTATATAATTTACTGAATATGTTCATTGAAGGGCCGACCCACTTTTTGTAAGGGTAAGGGTCAAATAATGTTAATGTAGTATAGTAGGGAAAAATTTAAATTTGATACTATAGAAGAAGTTGAATCTAACCCAAAACCCACCCCCGCCCCCGAAATAGGATTTCAATGGCGTCGGACAAAGTGAAAGTTGGGGCCCGGGGGGGGGGGGGCAAAGTGTAAGAAATATTTTTTAGACCTTCCAAAAAAAACTTGACAAGCTAAAAAAAAAAGAAATGTCCACTTTCCATACACAAAAATCCTATTTCGTGGTGGGGGGTGGGGGGGGTTGAACTTCAGTGCCAATTTTTTTTTTTCAAAACACCACCACTTTCCCCATTTTAAACCTATACTGCATCGTGTCCATGGAAAGGGGGGGGGGCTAAACGTTCAATGTCTACACTAAGTCTATCTTTCGAAAGAAAAGTGGGGGCTAATCCCCCCCTCCCCGGTTCCGACGCCTATGTATTTTCAAGTTTGGACAATTTCCTTTTTTTTTTTTGCTTGTCAAGTTTTCAGCCAGGTAGCTTGAATTTTCAAAAACGATGCTACATCACTGTTCTCTCGCCTGAAAAATATAACTCTACTAAAGTTATTTGTTGGATGATTGAATTCCAGTTTAATTGACATAAAAATGTTAGATATTTTAATACTAGTAAGTTACCCCTTATAAATTGAGTTGTTTTACAGGACCTTCCACTGAACTGAACTTTATTTCACGACAAATAGTAACTGCTCATGCGTGTGATTCTAGGGACGGGGCTTTGCAAAGGAGTGAGGAGCGTTATGGGTAGGCGAAGTCGGAACCAGGCTACACCCCAGGCATACTAGAAACTCCCTGGTCTTCTTTTCTGCTATAATATTTTATATTGAAATAGTACTTTTCAATAAAGAAAAGAAATATCTTTAGTACGCACCGTATTTTACATCAGCCAGGAGAGCTAAAAAATCTTAATAACGTGAAAATTCTATTTGGTGGTGGTGAAGGGGGGGGGGGGGGGGTTTCGTCAACTTTTTTCAGTACCAAATATTGCTCACTAAGTTCATGACTTTTAAAACATAAATTGACTATTAGTGCTGCAACAAAAAGTGTAAGGGATGGGGGCAACAAGCCTTTCGCTGAACTTTGCCAGTAGTAAAAAGTCTGTTACGTTTAGGAAAATGTTTCGTGGCCACCCTCCCCTCTACCGGTGCAGGCGCGTATCCAGAAATTTTTTCTAGGGGGCGGGGGGGGGGGGGGGGGTCCACCCCTGTAAAAAAAAAAAAACAATCCCAGAAATTTCTTGACAAGCAAAAAAAAAAAACAAACAAACAAAAAAACCTAAACTCGCCCAAACGTGAAAATCTTATTTCGTTGGGGGTTGGGTGGGGGTGGGGGGTTGTAGTCTATGACTTCTATTGCCTCAAATCCTTCACTTTTCATTCCCATTTCACACATATTCATGTTTACCGGGGGGGGGGGAGGGGGGGGGGTTCCAAGGTAATTTTTTTCTTGCTTTAGTATAATTATACATTTCTTAACCTTGTAAATTCCAGGGGGGGGGGGTCCTGACCCCCGACCCCCTCTAGATCCGCGCATGCGGTGATACTTACCCCATAGGAGGTCGTACAGACGGAAGTCAGTATATATATATATATTGAGACTTGGGGTTGTGATTGTACATTGTATAACGTCCCTTTAAATTGGAGATGGAGAAGCCACCTCTTGCCGGTGGAGAGCTGCAAATTTGTCCTATACCCGGCACTTATAGCCATTGAGCAGTGAGGGATCTTTTTTCGGGCCAGCACCTACTGCGATACGGGACCTCGGATAATACGGTCTAGATCTCATCCGAAGGACCGAACTCCACGTCCCATAGTGGGACTATGATTCGAACCCACGACGTATTGATTGACTCCTAACTACTGTGTTTCGTGACTCTAGAGCAGACGCCGTAACCATAGTGCCACGCGGGCGACTGCACCCTTGGGGTGGGGGTGGGATGGGGGGCTGCATCCAGGGGGGGGGGGAGGAAGTCATTATCCATTTGTACTCGTGAAGATTATCTATGTTTAACTAAATGATTAAAATGATTTAATTATTAACCACTATTAAAATGATATCATTTAAACATTTATTCATGTAGGACGGATAACTTTTCTTCAAAAACTGAAAACGTTAGGATATAAACATTGTTTTACGATTTAAAAAAAAACTATTCGAGGGAGGGGTTGCTATGAAGGGGGACGAATTGCTATATACAGCGAGATTTCCCACGGAAGACTAGCTATATATTGAAACTTCCCCGGGGGAAGTCTCACTGTATAGTCTTTCGAAGGACGCATCACTATGTAGTCAGTCTTCCAGGGGAAATATTACCATCCTCCGAGGGAATGGCATTATCGGGTACATACCTGAACTTATAACAAACATCATTTGAAAATTCAAGTTCGATTGATAAAGTATTAAGGCAGAAAATTGAAAAATCTCGAATAACCCCGGCCCGGGTTTGTTTACCTAGTTTTACCAACACTCGTAGCGAACACCCCTGCCACCTAGCGTTATAATGCGGTACTAAATTTTGACAACTTGTATTCGTCTTCATTGAATATGCGTCATTCTTTGTGTGATTGAATTCACGTTCGTAATAGAGATAATCATTTAAGAAACTGTATCAATTTAAAAGAAAGTAAAATGAATTTACAAGAATAAAGCAACATAGAAGTAAGGGCAAAATGAAGAAGGATAAAAGTCAAAGTGAAATGTAATAAAGACGAATATGAAAACAATAAAGTTACATATAATTACAATAATAACAAAGCATACAGAAGTAGTCAGAATAAGAATAAAAGCAAGATACATAGACTTTTGGCGGTAATTCCCTTCCATACTAGAGAGAAGTCAATTCCAATCTTCTATTCTGTGATGTACATGTACACTTACATGTATCTTCTATTCCTTTAATTTTATAGGTGTTTATTTCTCTGTGAAACATTACTATGTTATTGTACCTCCTAGGGAAAACGGTCATAAATGTTACAATCTGACAAGGTATTTCAAACTAAACGAAATAAATCCTATGGTTGTGTTTGTAAAATCTGACCTGCTATGTTCAGCCAACCAAATCATGGACATTTCAACCATAAAGGTTTCGTACAAATGATTCCTGCAGATCACACGCCAAATACGCCCATCTTCTTTTTCTTTGAATCAAATAGGTAATGCGATGTATATTTGTTACTGTGTTGCTTATAATGCACCACAAACATCTTTGTTATACTGTTGAAAGTTTGAATTCTTTCCAGTTTTTAGGAGAAAACACTTGTGTGAGTTCATCTACATTTTGAGCATGCGCACTTCTTATATCCCATATTAAGTTTTATTTCAACAATTACGTGTATGATACATATACAATCTGATTCTCACTTTACTATTGCAGGTTCGATATGAAGAAGTCAAATTTCATCCTTGCATTTGCTATATCTTTCGGAATAGGAATGCTTTACTTTTACATGAACAAATCCTCAACGGAAAACACATATATAAACATCAACTCTCTATGGCAGCCATCGCCTATGGCTTTCAATTCTTCCACCCAAAACACAAAAGAGTCAGCATTTGATCCTACTGACGCTAAAAAGTACGAGAAATATTTAACAAAATACACACCTGGGTATGACAAAAATTGCGTATTGACTTTACCAAATAAATATATTGGAGAAGGGGATTTCCCGCTTAAAATTCCTGGTGACAATGAAATGAATTCACTTTCTCACGATGTCATTTCCTGTTTGTATCATCGTTACGTCACGACCATTCAAACATTTTGTGCATTCAAGGATCGCGCAGGCGAAGTGAAACGAAATGGTTGGTATATATGCGCTGATCCTGCTTATGTGCCAAAACAAAACTGCTTAGTTTTTCTCTCTAACAAAGCTTTCCCAGAGAGTACGTTTTCAGCCGACATGACTTCGCGGTATAAGTGTCAGGTCCACTCGACACCATTTTCATCAACAGAAACATTAAAATCATCGATGGAGAAAACAATGACAGCCGGCAGAGTAGTAGATATACTCACGTTGTCGCTGAACAGGACTTCGGATCTTGTGTTCATCAAAACCATGATCAAGGACAAATCTATTCAGAAGGTCAAACAGCTCTTACTGGAGTTACATTTTGATCCGAAAGTTACAAAAACTGAAGAATACGTTCAAATATTAAAACACCTAAGAATGATACACAATGAAGGCTTAAGGATCACGTGGTTTGATCGGTTGATACATTGTGCTACTAACAGATATAATAAGTGTTATGCGATATATTTCGTCCAGCCTAACTTAAGAGATAAAACTAAAGGCCCGACCGTTGTGAATTTTCCTACTGTTAAAGCAATACAGCGTATGAAGAGTGACGCCATTGGTAATTTGTTTTTTAAGTATATCGAGACCACCCAGTTTTTCTGTCAGCATATACTGAGAATCGGGAGGATCACGGACGGGGGCTGGGATGTGTGTCACGATAGAATGATGACGTATAAAGACCCCTGTTTAGTGTATTCATTCGGAGTGTTTACGGATTTATCATTTGATGACGAAATAGCAGCTACCTACAATTGTAAGGTGCACGCTTTCGATCCGACAACGCCATTCGGAACTCATCAGCACGCACCTCGGGTTTGGTTCCATCGGTTAGGGATAGGAACCAAGTATTCAAAATTTAGCAATGGATTCGTAGCACCACTTCAGAAAATCCGTGCTGACTTGCATCATCAATCTTCTTCTATCGCTGTGTTCAAAGCTGATGTTGAAGGTGCAGAGTGGTCAAGTGTACCTCATATGATTGATACAAACCAACTGAATGACGTGTCACAGTTATTTTTAGAATTCCATGGTTGGGGAGATTCACCCCATGAACTGATTGTCTTGAAAAAGCTTCACGATGCGGGGTTCCGTATTTTCTGGTACCATATTAATCCTGCCTGTACTTTCAACAAGAATCTACCCCGCCGATCAAAATGTCAAGAAGTATATTTTATTAATACTAAATTCCAGCCATAATAGAGAATGAATGTTGAGTAAGAGTTAATGGAATTGTTCATCATATTTTCTTTTGCCTTACCCATATCACTGTTATTGGTAAAAAAAAAAACTATAGAAAATTCTCATTAATTACAGTATTTATTATGTAGTATATAGGAAAAAGGCCACATACATGTGATTGCATTTTTTAATTTAAAATGTTATTAAAAGATAAACAAAACTAGAGGTACTGTGAGCAATGAGCTCACTAAATGATACCCCCCGCCTCCCATATGAATATAATGGCAGTGTCCATGTTTTTTGAAAAAAAAATATATATCAGATCAAAAAGTAAAATAGGAGGTGCACAATGGCAATATGTAATAAAGATTCTGTGAAAGTTTCATTAAATTTCCTTCAGTGGTATGGGAGGAGTTGCGGATAAGAGATGGGTATCCCAAAGCGTAACAGACGGACGGACGGACGGACGGCTGGACGTACAGACGGACGGAAATACTGATTACTATATACCCTCCCGCTTTTCAAGCGGGGGGTATAACTACAAGCTTTATTAATCAGACAGTATATAATCGCCATGTTGACACTATTTATTTTTCACAACTGGTACTTAATAAAAATACAGTATAATCTGAGAACATCAAACTTCAGAGTGTTACTGTAGCAATAATATGTTTACGTCTGCTGGGAAAAAAAGATATACATTGGAAATATTTTCCTGAAAAGTTTCATTTTTAATTTTGCAATGTGAAATTTATTCTTGAATACCTATTCGGGTAAACACTATGCCAATTCCTAAAACATAATAAACCTTTCATAACATTTTTCAAATATAATATACTTGTAGGCGATCATATTGTTCAAGTTTCGTAAACAAAGCAATAAGAAATCATCAATGCTATAGAAGTGTAAACAGTACATTCAGTATTCAGATTTTATAAAAAATTTTGTAAATATTAATACGTTTTTTTCTGTCACTTTTCTCGTCTGATATTGATTTATTTTTAGTGCTTCACTTGGTTGTGAGAACGAGATAAAATATATTATCTGTAAATCAATGCTTTGGAAACCTGTGTATATCTTTAATGTCTTGGTCATGTTTGTGCACATGATGATACATTGTAGGACAAATAATACATGGACATGAATGAATAGCAAGAGACAGCAAAACTGAAAAATTAGATGGTTTTCTAAATAATGCGGATTTATATGTTTGTTTGTTTTTTGTTACATGTATATCATGTATATATAGGGTTTATCATTTTTTGTGTTTAATATTTTCATTTACTTTTTTTACGGATGTAGATCGAAATCCTTATTTTTTTTTTCAGTTGTAATGTATTTTGTATAAGGTAACATGTTCTATGTTTGAAATATATATTTTTATACCCCCCGCTTGAAAAGCGGGAGGGTATATAGTAATCGTTAATTCCGTTCGTCCGTCCGTCTGTACGTCCGTCCGTCCGTCCGTCTGTTACGCTTTAGGGTACCCATCTCTTATCCGCAACTCCTCTTATACCACTGAGTGAAATTTAATGAAACTTTCACAGAATCTTTATTACATATTGCCATTGTGCACCTCCTATTTTACTTTTTGATCTGACACATATTTTGTGTTTCCCGGCCATGGCAAAACATGGACTTTGTCATCAGTTATAACCATATGGGAGGCGGGGGTATCCTTTAGTGAGCTCATTGCTCACAGTACCTCTAGTTTATAAGTAAATTCAAGAAACCTGCCTTTTCACATGACCAATTATTTTTAGCTCACCTGAGCCGAAGGAAGCATTCCCATGAAGCAGAATTTATACCTAAACTTCTAGATGAGAAGGTAACACTTGCTATGGCCTTCAATCCGATATTTCGATACATTCATGACATTTATATCGGATCTCTAATGATTTGCAGTTGAATATGATGTTTATCCAACGAGTTGTGTGTTTGTTATTCCAGAGCCTTGGCGAGGGCATAAAGTCACACAACAAGTTGCATAAAAATCATATCCAAGTACAAATAATGGGAGATTCTTTTTATCTCATGTTTTTTACATCATTACCAATGTTTTTCTCTGTTTTTCATGGTGGCATATTTCTGTCCCATACATGCATGACAAATTATGTTAACATGCGACATAATTATGTAGACATGTAACATATTTATGTCAACATGCAAGTTAATTATGTTGACATGCCAGTTACCAAAATTATAAGAAAATTTAAGTTAAATATGGTTAATTTTACTTACTAACGCCTGTATCTGACATTGTAGTTGCAAGATGCAACATTATTATGTAGACATGCGACTTATTTATGTTAACATGCATGATAATTATGCCAGCATGCAAGATAATTACGTTAACATGCAAGATATGTATACTGATATGCAACTTATCATCTTGCATGTTGACATAAGGAAGTCGCATGTTCACATAAATAAGTTGCATGTCAACATAATTAACTTGCACGTTGACATAAATATCTTGCATTTCCACATAATTAACTCACAGGTTGACATAGAGTCTACATAAATATCTTGCATGTCTACATAAATATCACGCATTTTAACATAAGTAAACCACATCTTGTCATAATTATGTTGCATCTTGCATCTACGATGTCAGATACAAGCTTACGTAAGTGACTTTAACCATTTTAAAATCAGATTCTCTTACAAGATTTGTAACTTGCATGTCAACATAATTATCTTGAATGTCTTGCATATTGACATAATTTTCTTGCATGTTAACATAATTAATCTTGCATGTAGGGGCAGAAATATGCCACCATAGTTTTTATATTTAAAACTTCACTCCATTTTACTTAATCAATACAACAAAGAAACCATTGTGACGTCACAACTGGGATATCAAAAAATATCCAGTGAGTCATATCCATCATATCCAAGGGATAAAGGGGGTAAACATGGGATAAAATCAAATAACAACATGGTAACTTTCAGTAGAATGTCAACTTAATATATCCCAGTGAACTTGAAAAGAAGGATACCACAGGGTCTGACACATCTGTTTCATATTTAGATATTTTACAAAGAAAAACATGTATAGTTACATTACCAAAAGCCCTTACACTGTACCTTTGTAGCAAATTACTATTACCCTTATCACCAGCATATTGGGATCATGTCTCTCATTTGATTCGATACGCAACAGCATGGTCTACGTAGGAACGGTTTTTAAAACGAGGCAAGTTAATTGACAAAGAAGTTGATGAAACAAATTCAAGAGCCTCCTTTGAATCAAGCCATCATTCTAATATATTAAAAAATCAAATGCTAAAAACAGATTCAGGCAAACAAATAGGTGAGTTACGAAAACAACACTTGTAAAATACATACCGGGTAGACAGAAAAACGCGTTTTTAAAGGTTTTTAGAATTTCTTATAGGACTTCCATTAGTTTACTTGTACTAATATTTTATTCCGACATTAGCATACATGTATATACAGAGGTAAACACTTGCTGGGGCCTTCAACTCTACATTAAGATACATCGGTGATGTATTCTCTATTAACATTAATTAATTTCATTCGTTTGTCAGTTCGATATATATTAAAACGAACTTGAAAAGACACCATAGATTCTGCCATATCTGTTTCATATTTCGATTTCAAACGGACTATACAAGATAAGGCCAAACTAACAACTACGTAAATTGTATGACAAACGATATGATTTCAAATTTCCATGGTCAACTTTCCTATTTTTTGTATTAAAATCCCGTTCTCACCTTTATACCGTAAATCTGGATTTCCAAGAACATGCTCTTCGATCAGCGTTTTAATCAAGCAAGCTTACTGAAAAATAAGTTTAGATGTTACAGGGGTTTCTCCAACTTCATTTCAATTCATCTTTTAGTTCTATGGCCGTTGTGACGCCAGAATGAATTTTTGTTATAACCAATAAAAATTATAAAAAATATTTCTAATATAACGTGTATGTTGAATTTTCTTTTAGCCACGCCTCTTATATTATTTTGTAAGCTTTCATGCATTGTAGACATTGATATTTCTAAGATTCACCATATCTATTTTTCTTCTTTCAACTCCCAATTAAAAAAATTGGGAAAATCCAACGCACCTTTCAACGCCAATGTTGAATTCTGAAACCTACACCCAGACAGTGAGTTTTATGATCAAATAAAGCTTTAATGAATCATATGGGATACATATATGACAAAAGAACCGTCATGATATTTGACATGCACTGGTCGTTGTTAATGGATTGTAGTGAAATACTGTACAATGTCACATTTGTTCCAATTCACATGTTATGACACTTAATTTTTTAAAATCACTCTTTGCTTATCAAACTTGTTTTTCAATTTACATGTTCTGACACTTAAGATAATGAAGAATCAACATTGTTTGTAGGGGAACGATGTTCCTGGTTTTCGTGGGTCACCCTTACCTATGAATTGATATCCCCGCGTATGTTTTTTTTTTGTTAACATATCATAGTATTCATTGTACACGAGTAACCCACGAAATAACATCTCCACATACAGATCAGATTTTGCTTACCAACAAACATTGACCCCAACTAATGTAAATGACTCTAAAGTATTGAATGCTTAAATTCTCTCAACTTTTAGCAGTTTCCATGATAGACCATTTATTAGCTTCATAATACATGTAAATAAACGGACAGGAAAAAATATGAAACCAGAAGAGGATGTGTAAATGATAACATCCATCATGTGAACTCCTAAAAATATCTAACAATTAATTAATTAAGGGATTCCTTCAACAAAGTCCCTGTATTCTCATTTCTGTAGCTGTTTGTATGTTGTTGTACGGTTTTTGTCTGAGAGATTGTTGGTATGAGTATAGAGCAGCCTGAAGGTTCCCTGTCATCTGTTGACAGATCCCCAGAATTTGCCAAGATATATGTCTGTGATATTCAGGTATAAGCTGTCCCAGATCATAGTAAACTAGGGTTTGTAGATCATCTAGAACTGTCTGTACTCTCATTGTGTCTACATGTCTGTAGCACAAAATCTCTAACATATATAGCATTATAAAGGGTGGGACATATAATCCAGGATCATATTTCTGTAGACAAGACTGTTGTTCAGGTATCAGTTCACTGATGTAATGGATTTGATTGTCAAGTCTGACATTCCCTGCTACAGCTTGTCTCATCTTTGTAGACAAGGACTGTCCCCCTACAGCCTCAGAATACCTCTCTTTATCTACATTTTCCCTAAATACATATATAAGATGAGGCTGTGCTAACTTGACCTTGATCATCTCTAATATAGATAAAGCTTCCATGTATCTAAGTGTCTTGTAGTAATACATGGCTATGTACAGCATGTCTGTGATACAACCAAACTTGGCTGCTAATTTCAGCATGTGACAGGACATTTTGTCAGCTCTATAACTCAGTTTGTTGTCAAATGTGTACGTTTCCATGTGTAATATAAAAGCAGTGTACTGAAGGACCCTAGCGGAAATGTTCTGTAACGTAATGACTTGATATTGTGTCAAGAGGGGTGAACCTATTATTTGTTCTATTGTATGTAGATATCTAATGTATCTTTGTATGTCCGATTTTTTCTCTATTGTTCCATCACGTAGTGTTTCACCAAATAGATATCTATCAAACTCAGCCTCAGAAATCAGAGTATGATCATCTGTACAGATGGAGTTTCTGGGGTTATGTAGGACATCTATAAAAGACCTAATGGAGGGACTATGTAGCAGGAATGCTAAACCCTTCTCATACAACTCAGACAGTCTTATAAATAATTGATGTCGTTTGACGCCATGAATTTTACCCAGAAACATGTTGTTGCTTGGAATGAAAAAGTTAGGACAGACCCCCTCATACACCCATTTGAAGATGAGTTTAAAACAGACCCAGAAACCCCCCAAGAGATTTTGTGGACACCAGTGAGGCACTGTATTTTGTTGAATCACCCAGAAAACTGCCGTCTTCATGTGATAGGAACACAGTAATTTATCATTTTCACCTATTCCATTGTTAATTATTTCTTTTAAGAACAATTTAAGTAAGCCGTAAGTTAAGAATTGACAGTGATTCATTATATGCACAAGTTTTTGTTCAGCCAGAGAAAAAGAAATTCTCCATTCATGATCTTCATGATTTCCTAGCTTATTTCCAATTGCTACAAAGTGACATCCATTTTTCACTATGTCATCAACAACATGAGGCTGGGGCCATGAGTGACATCTGTGTATCCATGAAAAGGCAGGTGGAGGCCAAAAGTCACAAACAAAACAGTGGGCATTATCAAATTCTTGTGTTCCAATTGTGCTATTAGCACAAGGTCCATGTTGAGTGGTGTTAGTTAATTCAGAACACTTGGTCTGTCTGTAGTAAGAACTAGAAACATAATACCTGTTATTCATTCTAACACAGGCTCTCTGGACGTCTCTGTTCATGCTTGTTGACAGTAAATATAACAAAGTAAATCCTGTTGGACTATCAGAACAGTCACAGAGGATCAGTGTTTGTCTCTGTGTGTTGTAATACTGAGACTGAGATAATTCCCAGATCACGCGGTGATTATTTGGCCAGTACATGAAGTCTACATCAGATTCTATCAATCGGAACCCTTCTCCGTAACTTCCACTTAACATCATACTATCCTCATCACTTGTTGATACTTGATTTTCCACTTTCTCCCAGATGTCCACCACATCTCTCCTCATGGCTGTCTGTTGTGAGGTCCCCACGTTATAACAACACAGTCCCACAAACACCGACTCTGATATGCTTTGCATGGCTTTAGTACTGAGAATGATTAAGTGGAAATTATATTTTTGTATAATTAATGTTTTACTTTTGAAAATCTAATATATCATTATCATCAATAATAAGCTTAATATTTAATTATTAAATGTTTCATTCAAAAAATGTTTACAGTGTATATATTTCCTCTTAATCAATAAAGAATTTTCATATTCCCAAATCAAAAAATAAAAAAAATAACTTCAACTAATTATCATTATTTTTTTAAATAGTTAAATGCATAACTGAAAGTGTCATATTGAATTAATCATGTTAATTTTTTTGTATAGGACATTTCTAGTACAGTGGTGTAAAAAGTTAAAACCAATTTTACTGTCAACAAATAACACTGAATCAGATGATTTAGGAATTGTTTTAGAGTTATTAATTCTTGTCATTAAAACTTACGTTTGTGAGCTTCTAATAGAGTTCAATTTCAGTGGCGCATATTCCTTTCTGCTAATGTGTAGGCTAGTGTGAATTCAAACGTAACCTGGGGTAAGAATTGTGGTAGACAAGGAGGTTCCTTTCGATAGATATTGGGGGGTCAAGCTCAGACATCGACCATTTTAATATGACAAGTGAAAATAATATTGTAGACGTAACTACAGTTTAGTTATATCATGCTTAGAAAATGGAAACTTCCTTACTGAACCAAATTCGAGCAAAACGTTAAATTTCCTACTCACCAAATATAATTCAAGTTATCAATTTCATTTCCTGCACGTATTATGGACTCCTGTTGCTTTCGATGAAATTTTCTGATACAGACTAAATATTGATAATTAACACTTGAACTTTGTCTTAAAAATGCCAAGCTAATTAAAGGGAATAGTTTTGCCACGGGGACGTTTTAGTCGCCTGTCAGTTGAGTGCCGAAACGACACTCGTATGTCGCATCGGTGTAAAAAATGAATGATATCAAATAAAGTAATGTTTATTTCCTTAAAAATGATTTATTTATTTATTATTCATGATTATATGAAAGGTGCTCTCAAAATGACGAGAATTGTGTGCGTTTTATGACGTCACTATATGTAAGTATTACGTATTATGGAGAGAACAATCATGGGCATTTATGCCTGCTGCTAAATCTAATCCAATGAATGAAATATATTTTAAACTTAATATTACGTAAAAGTTCTATTCATCCATGTTTGGACATCGATATGTGCATTATTTGACAAATATTAAAGTAAATAACATTGCCTGTCCATGCGATAACTCATTTATGAAAGAGATATCGGCTTATGCATGAGATAATGGACAAAAAGTTTCAATCTTTATAAATCAAAGCAAACAATGTTGAATCTAGTAACGTATTCTTCAAAAATTTGAAAATAAAATAACATGAAGGCCTATAGGATTTTTCCTGCAAACAAGTTGAGTTTTGTGATGAAAATGAGATAAGTAAACTGTTTAAGTAAATCTGTTTGGGGGAGGGGGCTAATTTATACTGAACTGCATCAAGGCAGGGGGATGGGCAGTAAAAACGTTTTGTATATAAAAAAAAAGTGGAAGGCAGGCCCCCGATGCTATGTGCCTGCCATGGGGTTAGTATTGCCTGATGTTTTAAATCTTGGTATCCTGAAATCTGTTATCAAGCTGAAAGGATCAAGATCTTAAATTTTCATGCATATGCTTAATGGCAAAAAAAAAGGAATAGCGAGGTGATGTTTTCAATCTATTAGGAGATGATCGGCCATTACGCGAGAAAAAGCAAAATAAATAAATAGATAAATAAAATAATAAAAATAATAAAAATAACATGGTTTGCAAACCATAAAATATGTCGTAGATGTTGCTGTAGTGTAAAATAACAAGTTTAAATTATGTATTATAAAAAATCATGACGTAAAAACTGATTCAAATGCCTAATTCTGATGCTGAAAGTTCTAAAATACTTGCTTCCTATAAGACACTTTTGAATTCCAAATACCAGGATAATCATTATATATACTAAGAACTACAATAAAGAATGAAGATACCTTAGAAGAGTTATTGCCCTTGGCAACATTTTTAAAAGATTGAATCACTGATTACATTAAAAAAAATATATACATCTTTTGAATTATTTGATTTAAGGACAGATGATATAAACAAATTTTTTCTTTGAAAAAGATTTAATATCATGTCACAAGTTTTGAGAAGTGGGTAATTCTAAGATTATTTTCTCCTAAAAACTGGGAAATGAAATAGACTAGGAAAATATAAGTAATATTTCAATAAAAAAAACAAATATAGACAAATCATAATCAGTAAAGGTTTACAGGTGAAAACAAATTTCAGAATATGTTACCTTGGTGCTAAAAGTATACTTTAAACTTTAGAAAACCGGTGTGACCGGTCGGCAGGGGATGCTCACACCTCAATGGCACCCGATCCCACCTCTGATGTTTCGGAGGTCCGTGTTTGCTCTGCTCTTATTTTGTATATTGTTTAATGGACTTTGAGATTGAATACTGTTCGTTATCTCCATATCCTTCTCTATTGAGTATAAATACCAGTTTTCAAAAACCTATGACATCATTAGAGGATGGAAATACCTTAAGTTCTATGGTCGTTGTAATGAACTTACTAGCACATATAACCTCTTGTTGAGTCGTTTTCTGGCTGACCTGTTTCGTACTCATTGTTAAGCTTGTGTATTAATTCTGAGTTTGACACCGGAAAGTTTCATCTTCCTGGTCATTAATATTTATAGGGCTGATGGCGAGTATGACCGGTAACTAATTATAAGGGATGTATTCTCCTTCTGGACACCTGTTTCCACCTCTGGTATTTACAGGGGTCTGTGGTTATGCCCTCTTCACAGGTTTCCTGTTTTTATAGTTTTTATAGATTTATATTAAGATCGATCACTGTTCTGTGTATTAATCCCTTTTTAAGTTTTTAATATAGTGGATTTTTTTCATGGCACTTGATCCCACCTCTGATGTTTTAGAGATCCGCGTGTTTGCCCTGCTCCTATTTTGTATTTTTTGTGGACTTGGTATTGAATACTGTTCGTTATCTTATTATCCTTCATTCATTAAAAAGCTTACAATTGCAATTAATTTTTATCCTTAAATTCACATATGTTCATTTCCGATACTGAAATTTAAAAAGTTGCATCGTTACATATTATTTCTAAAATTTACATATTTGAACCCAAATAAAAAAAAGCACCCAAATGTACGAAAGTGTAATAGTTCCATGTAAATATAATATATTTTTAATGTATTTCGTGTTGTCAGGGTTGGTTCAATCTAAAATTTTATAAACAATACGTTTTTAGCACATGGAATCATTTTTTAAAGGTTTGGATGTGGGTCAATGACGCCAAGATAGATTTTTTTTTATAACCAATAAAAATGATAGAAATATTTCAATACAACTTGTGTGTTAAATTTTCTCTTGGCCAAGCCTCTTATATTTTCGTTAAAGCTTTCACGCATTATAGACATTTCGAAGATTCACCATATTTATTATTCTAAATTTATATTTTGAAAGAAAAATTTGAAATTCTTCTTTGAACACAAAATGTCAAAAAATAACATAGACATTGGAAAAATCCAATGTACCAGAACACTCTTTACCTCAAATATTGTTAGCGAATTCTCATGTCTACATTCAGACAGTAAATTAGATGATCAAACTAAGCTTTAATGAATCATATGGGATACATATGACAAAAATACTGTCATTGTATTTGGCATGCACTGGTCGTTGTAAATGGCTTGTAGTGGGAAAATATTGTACAACTACACATTTGTTCCAATTTACATATTCTGACACTTAATTTTAATCACTTTTGGCATATTTTTGTTCATATAAAACTTGTTTTGTTTTCAAGAAGGTGAACTACATGTATTCAGTGTCTTCCGTCAAATGCATGAATAAAAAATACTGATTGTCTCCTTTTTTGCCTTCACAATTTTCATCATTTAACTTCTGACTCCACTAGGTGTCCATTTTCTGTCTTTTCACCACAGAAGGATTCCTCACTGAAGTTCAGGGGGAGTGTTTCCTGTCTACCATTAGAGGTTAGATCCTCCCTGTGTAACGAATCGCGATTAAAGGAATCTCGGTAAGAATCACGTTTAAAATCCGTGGCTGTCGAGGTTCGCACCTGCGTATAAACAGTACCGGAAGTCGTGCTAAATTCACGACGAGGTCGATATTGTGGTCTGCCGGATATCCGACTGAAGCAATTTTTCAGGTGACCGTGTACCTGTGGTGAAGAAAATTAAAGTGCTGAAAGTACTGATATGAGTTGATGTTGTGTACGTGTAGTAAATTTTAAAAAATCCCACTATAGATGATGTTTTTGTTTGAATTTTATGGTTAAAGAAATATGAAACTAATGCAAATTTACTAGATAAAGCTAATTCTCTAACTATGCCAAAATACTTTTTTAAGAATTTACCTCTCCGTTGAAGATGCAGAATATCAAGGACACAAAAGCACCCTGAAACCGAAGAGTATACAAGTTATTAAATGTACAAAAAACTGTGTGACATTTTAATTCAGGATATTTATAGATCAGTTTAGCTTACAACTTATGTACCATGTTCTGAAACCTAACTACCTTGAGCTATTAGTTCACTATACCCTTGAACTGTAAAAAATCAAGAACTTTAAGTTTGAAAAAAAAATTGGTTCATGCAGTTGAACATTATTGAAACAATAAAAGGCTGTCTCTTTTTTTTCATCGACTTTGAAGAATTTTAAATACTTAACTTGCTTCGACGAAATATGGTAAGTTATACGGGTTGATGCAAAAGTAATGTCACAACTTTGATAAAATTGGTATAAATCGACGTAAAGCAACAAAATTAAATATGATGGAAGCTTTATTTATTTCAAATCAGACCTGAAAAATTCAAAGGAAAATGATGTATACTTTTCAAAATATCGGATTTTAATCAATGCGCGTTTATGGTAGTCGCCGCACCTAAATATATCGTCATATGACGGATACACACCGTCATACTTTTAAGCGATTACCCTTCGTTTCATTAAAAAATATTTGTGATTTGCAAACATTTTCACCAATTCAACTTTCTTTTAGAATTCTTGGTACCATTATACACGCACTCTTTTCATAATTAAGCCCTCTGTCAAAATTTTTTGAACAGTAGCATAAGACAAACTTAAAAATTCACATGTCACTCTATACGTCTGTCTTTTTTGACAACGTCAGACACCATTGAACGTTTCCGTCCGATCTCCTATCTTTCGGTCTTCTTGTCCTCTGCTAATCATTCAGTGACCAATCACCCGCTCAAAATTGCTGAAACCATCTATTAAGATGTCTCTTATTTACATTCTTTATTCTGCAAGTCTGATTGATTAACGAAAATATCGCTAGTGATGATTCTCATATTTTGAAGCAGAAATGCATTACAACTCGTCGAGCCTTTTTTCCCCATTTCGACAATCCCTTTGTTCAATTCAACAGAGTTAAACAACAATGTTTATGATCACAAATACCAATGCCGTCATTTAATTTTCAATTAAAGACTAGAAAATAAAGAGAATTGTGTCTTTAAAAAAATTGGGAGATTAGGTGTTTTTTTTTAAGAATTTTTTTAATGTGTTTGTCTTTTTCATTCTAAGAAAAAATACAATTTAAAACGTGACGTTCCGTTGTGACGCGGCGACACCCCCTAAGCTCTATGCTTTAAACATCTATAAAATGAATTCAAATAAACATTATAAAATTAAAATTACTAAGTTAATTACATTCATATTTGTGCATCTTTTGGTATATTGTATTTGATAATATGACGACAAATATAAAAGATATGGACACTGTGACATTACTTTTGGATCAACCCTCGTATACATCGTATTTTACTGATAAAAAAAAGCCTCTACTGAAACAAGAGGCCCATGGGCCACATCGCTCACCTGAGAAGCTTTGACCATTCTGTTCTTTACCAGATTTCCCCCTTGTTATACATAATGCATCCCCACCCTACCCCACTGATCATAATTTAGACATTTTGAAATCTACACTACCCCATGATCCTTCCATGGGCACATATGTTTCAGCTTTTTTGGCACAGTGGTTCCTGAGAAGAAGATTTTCAAAGATTTTTCCTATATATTTCTATGTAAAACTCTGATTCCCTATAATGGCCCCGCCCTTCCCCCGGGGGTCATGATTCCTATAATTTAGAATTTACACTACCCCAGAATGCTTCCACATAAGCTTCACTTTTTCTGGCCCAGTGGTTCTTGAGAAGAAGATTTTCAAAGATTTTTCCTATATATTTCTATATTAAACTTTGATTCCCCATTGTGGCCCCGCCCTTCCCCCTGGTGTCATGATTTGAACAATTTAGAATCTACATTATACCAGGATGCTTCCACATAAGTTTCAGCTTTTCTGGCCCAGTGGTTCTTGAGAAGAAGATTTTCAAAGATTTTTCCTATATATTTCTATGTAAAACTTTGATACCCCATTGGGGCCCCGCCCTTCCCCCGGGGGTCATGATTTGAACAATTTAGAATCTACACTATACCAGGATGCTTCCACATAAGTTTCAGCTTTTCTGGCCCAGTGGTTCCTGAGAAGAAGATTTTCAAAGATTTCTCCTATATATTTCTATGTAAAACTTTGATTCCCTATAATGGCCCCGCCCTTCCCCCGGGGGTCATGATTCCTACAATTTAGAATTTACACTACCCCAGAATGCTTCCACATAAGCTTCATTTTTTCTGGCCCAGGGGTTCTTGAGAATAAGATTTTCAAAGATTTTTCCTATATATTTCTATTATATAAAACTTTGATTCCCCATTGTGGCCCCGCCCTTCCCCCGGGGGTCATTATTTGAACAATTTAGAATCTACATTATACCAGGATGCTTCCACATAAGTTTCAGCTTTACTGGCCCAGTGGTTCTTGAGAAGAAGATTTTCAAAGATTTTTCCTATATATTTCTATGTAAAACTTTGATTCCCCATTGTGGCCCCGCCCTTCCCTCGGTGGTCATGATTTGAACAATTTAGAATCTACACTATACCAGGATGCTTCCACATAAGTTTCAGCTTTTCTGCCCCAGTGGTTCTTGAGAAGAAGATTTTCAAAGATTTTTCCTATATATTTCTATATAAAACTTTGATTCCCCATTGTGGCCCCGCCCTTCCCCCGGGGGTCATGATATGAACAATTTAGAATCTACACTACCCCAGGATGCTTCCACATACGTTTCAGCTTTTCTGGCCCAGTGGTTCTTGAGAAGAAGATTTTTTAATGACCCAACCCTATTTTTGTCTTTTCTTGATTATCTCCCCTTGCGAGGGGATATGTCCCTCCATTTTTACAATTTAAATTCCCCTTCACCCAAGGATGCTTTGTACCAAGTTTGGTCAAAATTGGCCCAGTGGTTCTTGAGAAGAAGTCGAAAATGTGAAAAGTTTACAGACGGACAGACAGACGGACAGACGGACGGACGGACAGACAGACGGACGGACGGACGACGGACAAAATGTGATCAGAAAAGCTCACTTGAGCCTTCGGCTCAGGTGAGCTAAAAATTGATATATTTTATTGTATTGTATTGCCAAAAAAAAAACATCCATGGTTTTTATAATAAAAGAACTGTTATTTATCGAGAACTTCATTCATTTGATTTTAATAACCTTTAAGGTAGTCATAATAATTACATTTTGCTGAGATTTGTACATAAAACTCAGTTGCAAGATATTATAATGCTTCCTCAAACCATTTATTCATTCTAATAGATTGTCAAATGTTTTTCAAATAAAAGTCCTTTAAACCATATCAGACACATGACTGTATATACTTCCCTCTTTTTATGTATTTAATTATCATATTAGCTAATAATTTAACAATTAATTTTGGTTGTAACGCTTCATTTGATTGGTTAAAAAATTATCTATATTGTATAACCTTGTTTGCCTACATGACTTCTGTCAAAACGTTTCAATCCGCTTAATGTTATGTTCAGAATATGTACAGTTTGAAGGCGTTTTAAAGGGGGGAATTGTCTTGTTTTTTGATTGATTAAAAATTAAGGATATACGATCCTCAGCTAGGAAGGATAACTCTTTAATATATAATTTAATTCAAAAAGTCTTAAAATAAAGCTTGAAATTGAAATTTTTTCATGCAACAATTTTCATTATATGCCTCTACGTATGATTCAATGCTCTTTAAAGTTTTAACAAACGGTATTAAAAATGTTGACATTTGTACCTCATAAAATTAAGTATAACTTGCATATTTTAAAAAATCAATTTTTTTTTAATTTAGCCTTAGTTACCAATGTTTTTAAGCATGATTTGAAATTAAAAGTGATTTACGATGTTTTCTTTGAAAGGAAACACTTCATACACTATGCATTATGAAACGATGGAAGTAAGTAGGAGAAAGTAAAGTACCAAATAAGTGTAAAATTCATGCAATTTTCTTTCAAAGCCTGGATACCTATGATTTTTATTCCTAAAATGTATTTCTTCATCAATTATCAATTTAAAAATATGCCGTAGGTACTTCAAATCGCATTTCCTGAAAAATTATTTGAGATTTACTAATTTTTCCTATATAATATGATTAAATTTAAAGATGAAGTTTAAAGAAACACCGTGGGTAAATACATTTTAATTTGAGAATTTAGAGACCTCTTTGTGAGCAATTTAAATTACTCAATGCCTGATTTTCAGAACCTGAGGATCGGATAACCTTAAATTATAAAGAATGAATTATTAAAATAGCAACACAAGTTATACTGGTATAACCTGGGTTGGAGCAGTTAATTCCTTGTTATAAACTTTTCGCGGTTTATAAAGAGTTAACTGCCCTAACCCAGTTTTACAGTATACCTTGGGTTAATACTGAATTCGTTCCGTTAAGGTCTACCTTGTCTTAGCTTACCTGAGTATCCTGTATGACGAGTCTTAGGATCTCGTACCACATGGCGTTAGCTGGTCTGTAAATGACAACCGCCCACTGTATACCAAACAACGGAATCAGAACAAAGGTGGCCTTAATAGCTCGCCTGGAAAAGGAACTAGGGTTATATGAACAGGACAATGCATTTTAAATTCGTTTTTATCATCTTATCTACGTAATCATGGATGCTGAGAGAGAATAAAATGTAAATTTAAGGCATGAAATAACATTTATATACAAGATGATCAGAATAAATATATGATAGTTGCTCTAAATGTACAAGTAATAGCTTAAAGATATGTATGCCGTGTTAAACAGTATTTTTGCACAGCTAAAACCAAACAAAAATTTCTGAAGTATGATAAGCTATCAAAAATGAAGCATTCTCGCAAATTCGACGAAATATTATTCGGTATTAACAAAGTACTGGTCGGGAAAAGAACACGATATTCTCATGCATATTTATAAAGGACTGACGTTTATGTTGGATCTGCGCATGTGCGCGGGAAAAGCATCACGAGAATCATCAGGTCGAGGAAACTATTTTTTGTGACGTCTGTTCAGCGAGGAACCAACAAGACTGACAAATCGACCAATCAGCTCAATGAGTTGTATTTATTGCATTTATGGGTTACTACTCAGTACATAAATACTACATGTGTTTTTCGAACAGGCTAGTTTTTTAAATCGCTCTCAGAAAGACGTGGTGCATTTCCCAAGCATTTACACGCTTAATGCATTAAGTACGAGGGCCGTTCAAAAATTACGCGGACTGTGCTATTATTCACTCTTACAGACGTCATAGAGTTATGAAATTTCACAGAAATATGTATCTCAAAGATTCCAATAAATGTTGGGCAAAATTTCTGTATTTTAAAAAAATTCTACCAAAATTATCGGTATGTTGATATCGCTGATGGAGAGGTACGGAGCACGACAAAAAAATTGAAGCAAAAGCATGCGGAATCCAAAATTTAACTCATTTATTTTCTATAATTCGCAATATTTTTCGAGGATTTTCTCAAATGTATCTTTAAATTGTTCTATTATTATGTATTTGGATTTCTGACCTGATATTTGAAGTACTAACAGAAATATAGTGATTTTCCTCTGATGCGATTCCCGTGAAAACGACTGTGAAAATGACGTCTCCTGAATTGACGGCGCACCACACTTTAGTTAAATTTTGTGTAATGCTCGAGATATCGCCAACATAGACCCAAAATATACATAATGAAACATGTAGTAAACTAGGGTATTCGTGACATTCGTCCACAAATAGCAAATAGTAATTTAAGACCATTAGACCCCTGTGAAATGGCTACACGTGAGGACGGAAAGAAGATTATCAACGAAAACTTTATCCGGACTGTAAATAACGTGAGTCACCAATATCACTCTATAGCTATATCTTATAAATACTTGCAGTTTTTGGTTTTTAAAACAAAAAAAGAATATTCTTTACTTGTTTAATAGATTTAAAGATTGACAAGAAATGGTGTTTGGATGTTAAGTAGATTAGATAACTCAAACTGTACAAGTAGTCTTGGGAAAATGTTGAGAAAATGAAAGCTCAATCACCAATTTTCTATAATGTCTGTGACGTCAAAGGTTTTACTGCTCCGTGACTTAATGATATGTCCTGAAAAATCACTCAGAATTGATAACAATTTATAACATTTTGATATGAAATTTTGTAGACCATATAAGTAAAGATTCTTTTATATTTTGTGCGACATTTTGCCCGATTATGTCGACAAATATTTTTTCTGTGCAACAAGTCCGCGTAATTTTTGAACGGCCCTCGTACATTATTATCTACTAATCCCATGCTAACATTTGCATACAAATGAACAATGATAAAAATAAGAGTTTTCCCCACTCTATTGTACAGTTCCGTTTGTTTACAATTTCCACGTGCTCTACTGACAGTGAAAAGACAATTTTACGTGACTATATATTCCTCGGTACAAAAAGCAAAGTAACTCTGAGGTGTGCTCACGTATTGACAATGTTTACAATGTGTACAAATTCGAAACATACAGTATGCTAACAAGAAAAATTGCATTTGTTTGTTAATGTGAGCATGGGAATTCTCAATTAGTAACTATTCTTCCTATTTTTCTAAAACAGGTTTTTAAAAAATGTAAATTGGCTTTCCAGCCACGTGTTTGTAGTGAAAACGTAGTAGACCATCATGCTTTTCGGCTCATTCACGAGATTGGACCATTGTTTGCTGTGAGCATGCAAAACCACGTGTTCATGAATATTTCAATAAGAGGCGGTTTAATATCCGATTCGGAGAGAAAATAATTTTTACAAAATAATATTTCATAACTTTTAAAAGTGATGGAGTGGAATTGTCTTAATTGCAGAAATAACATAACTTATGTTACTTGATGAGACACCACATATATTTATTTCTTTAGCAATAAAACACTAATACGGGATATATATCTTTAAAGCTTATTCTTAAAAATTTATTACATCGATAATTAACGCAATATACAAATATCCTTAATGGTAAGAATTTAGACTTGCAAACCGAGTACCATAAAAATCGGCAATTTAACATTTCCACGGACCTTTGCATCTTTCTACTCATGTCACAATGAACAACCCAGAAGATACATTTATAAATTTTGCTAACGCATTTTATATCTTATGCTTTTGTCTTCTCTCAGCTATAAAATTACGGGATGTACTTTTTTCATTTGATCATTTGAACTTAAAAGTGAAGATTAATTTTCTTCAATAAAGATATTGTTCCTTTTCTCATGCACATTGAATGAGCAAAAACTGGCTTGACTTCTTTCTCTTGACAAAAAAAGCATGAAAGAAAAAATCCAGTATGGTGTCTTTCAACTTTAACATACAGCCTCAACATGCAAAATTGAATCTTCCAAAGTTTTAACATTACAGAAAAGACATATCAAAAAAAGAAAATTAATCCTCAAGAGTTGATTCCCTGATTTGTTCAGTTGCTGATTCCTAAAAAATAACTGCTATGTCTATATATAGATTTATATATTAAAATTCAAGATGTCCTTGGTATAGGTATATACATATAGAAAAATAATCCAGAGTTTGGAAAAGATGATCACATTTTATTATATATACATTTATGTATATGCTTATAAATAAGCATAGTCTCTGCTGTTCAAACTTCACTTCTCAACTTATAAGCCTAGGTGCTATGCGATGTTCCAAAATAAAACAAACACATTTCTATATAATTTTTTACTTTCTTTTAATTATTCTACTAAAATAATAATCATCTTAATTAACCCAAAGTGAAATTCTTAATTTTGCAAGTTAAGGTCCTTAACTTATATGTACAGATATAAAGTGTTTATTAATTAATGTATACTCGCCTGTATCCACTGGGTTCGTTGGGGTGAGACTGTAGTTGAGTCAAGAGAATATAGAGAATATTCCCAAGGAAGAAAACATTGGCCTGCAATGAGATATTTATGAAACACAGTCATGAATACGTTTACATGAAAATAAGAATATGCATATGTAAACATTCATACATCAAAATATTTCAATCGTTATATACATATAAAAATGTTATACAAACTTAGGCATTTATAAAAAGAATAAAGCATTCCTTTAGAATAGCCTTAATTCAAATATTGACATCCAACATTTGTTTTCTTTGGATTTATAACAAATTAACAAAAGTTAAAGAGGAAGATTTTTTTCTTACGTTAACTTTCAAGGTAGTAAATAAAAGTACTTACAAATAAGCAAAGTAAATTTGGCGTGTAGATCAACCATTCAAAACCATTGATGTTATTTATCCAGCAACTGTTTTAAAATAATGGCAAAATGTTAAAAAAAAAAAATCAGCAATATGTTGTTCATTAAAATACATATAATAATTTTGATTCAATCTAAGGGAAGAAAATAATGAATTTTGTTGTTTGATATTCGCTTATCATAATACATTGTTGCTCTAAAAAAAATTTTAACAACGAATTTATCTTGAATTTATCTTGAAAACTACATTTATACACTTTTGAGTTATTCCTCTTGTGTTAGATTAACTTGCGTCTGCAAATATCAACCATACAGAAGGTGTTAAATGGTGTTAAGTGAACAGATTTAATTAATTAATTGATTGATGGATTAATGGATTGAGTGATTAATTGATTGATTAACTGACTGAATGTTTTTTACCATCTTAGATTTTTGAAATGAAGATGAGACGTCATCACATGGCGGTGAAGGACTTTATTCGTCACACAGGGCAATAACTGAGCACATGGAACCTCTTTCATTATTTATTCATGCGAAAGACCTGTAAATTTTACCCCCTAATGCCGCTTGACGTAAATCAGTCACTACTATGTCTTACGATGCGGCGAGATGAAGGAGAATGGACTCTCACGTGGGAGACGTCCTTTCACTGGGCTGTCGTGACCAGTTGGAGAAAAAAAGAGAAATAAAACTTTCAAAAAGCCTTTCCTTCAATTCGGAATGCAATATTGAAATTAGATATTGCACTTGTAGTAATTTCGTAGTTTTTCAATATGTAAATGTTATATGCTAGAAAATACAGTAACGTGTAAATATACTCGAGCAAAAAGATAAAAAAAGTTTACTTTTACAAACTGAGTATATAAATCAAAGAACTAAAAAAAAACATTAAATTGATTGATGTTTCGAGTTCCCAAATTAACAAACGATATTCTATTCTGATTATAAGTGTCATCTGGCGTAAAGTCTTTTGGTAATATTCATTTTTCAGACTATCAAGAGCAAGCCTATGATGACCGACAGCGGTTGAGAATAGCAGCTTAGTAACCAATCAGAAACATGCTTTGTCTTCACCGCGGACCTCACGCAGAGGAGTCACAGATGTATTAAACGATACGAGCAGTATTAAATTGATTTCCGCTCGCCAATCGGCTTACTATGGTCAAAGATATATCAATCTAAGGCTCTAAAAAACATAAGAAATATGTGAAAATGTTTATCTATGCGCTTCGATACACCCATTCCCCATTCCCTCTTCCTCATACTAACTTCAACTATTAAGTTTCATCTTGTATTCTAAAAGACTTTTGATACCAAAAAGCTTGGGCGAGCTGCAATGAGGATGATACGTGACAGGCATTAATACATGCACATATGGGGTATAAATGTATTCTTTTTTTTTCCTTACAAATGTTTATATACCTTTTTTAAATTAAATTTTACTATTTTGCTTTTTGTGCATACATCTTTTAGTTCATTTTCCCATTGTAAAAACAGTGAAAAAGTCTCCAAAATTGTTTGATAATTTAATTGCACTCCAAATCTGTATACATAATTCGTATTTTTATAATAAATTCTCGTTTGAGATTTAAATAATGAGAGAATACGTAGGTAAATTGTCGTTTTACTAATTTTTGATTTCATTTGATTCAATAATAGATACTGAAGATTTTCTCATAGATTGTCACAGCTCTGATATTTAGAAGAGACAAATGACCACGAGGATTAAGATAATGACTTGTACTCTATAAAAGGCAACCTAAATACAATATCAAATTTAAATTATATGTGCTTTTCAAAATTACATGCCTCAGGACGCCAAAATATATAATTATTCATGATAATATGTGTGTAAATAGGATCTCTGTTAATTAAAAAAATGGTTCAGTATAATTATTGCTTTAATTATTAAGAAAAAAAACAGCTCGGTCAAAATTATAATTCCATAAACTGCATTTATGCTTTCAAGGTTACAAAAATATACTTTCTTTAATGGTATAAAGTTTGCAGAAAGGTACAAACTTTCTATTCCCTTATGAAAATTTCATTATTCATCAACTGACCACGTTAACATAAGGGACTTACTTGTTGTCATACTCCGATATGCTGGCCTTGATAATGGAATATACGACAACGGGAAACCATGGAGCACCTGTAAAACAAGAATATTGACAATAATTTTAAAATATGTAAATGTAACTTTTTGTAACACACACCTGTACCACATTTGTTTTGTATTCTGAGGAATTTTCCTATACGTATAAAGTTTACAATTTAATGAAGTGTACATGTCTTAATTTCTGTAAACTTGATACAGTTTGATAACTATTTCAAATATTTCAGTATTGACAAGAAATTGAAGGAATAGAGGATACTCCTAAGCTTATGTTGCTAATTAAAATGAAGACAAAAAATAGTTCTTGCATATACAGGCCCCAAATACTAGTACACTACAAAAGAATTATTAAACGCCATGAAGTTTTGTAATCTCCATTCCTATGTCGATACGATGTATCCTGGTAAGCTTGAGATAAAAGATACCATAGAGTCTGACACATCTGTTTCATACTTGGATATATTACTTGAAAAGACGTTAATGGTAACCTAACAACCAAGCTCTATGATAAACGTGATGATTTTAACTTTTCTATCGTCAACTTCCCTTACATATGCAGCAATATACCTTCATCACCTGCATACGGAGTTTACATTTCTCATTTGCTTCGATACGCAAGAGCATGCTCTACGTACGAACAATTTCTAATACGAGGTAAAATAGACAAACAAGTTGATGGAACAAGAGTATCAACAGTCTCGTTTAAAGTCATCATTTCGTAAGTCCTATGGTCGATACAATGACCTTCTCAGCAAATACAATTTATCATTGAGTCAAATGCTGACTGACTTTTTCATACTTCTTGTTAGTCCATTATTTATACACTGAATTGACGACGGATTTTCCTGTTATTTCCCAATCATGACAGGGATCACACGGCGGGTGTGACCGGTAGGCAGGGGATGCTCACTCCTCCATGACACCTGATCCAACCTCTGATGGTTTGGAGGTCCGTGTTTGCTCTGCTTCTATTTTGTATTGTTTTATGGATTTGATATTGAATACTGTTCGTTAGCTTCACATTCTTCATTTACTCTATGTAGTAAATGTTGTCAAAACTAGCATATACTAAAGTAAATTAGGTTTTATTCCTTTAAATCGATATATTTACTTATTTCAAAGTCTGTTAAAGATATAAACCTTATAGATAGCCCTGGCCTTATACTCCATCATTTACATTTATTTTAATGTAACCACCTTAAAACCTCCTTAAATCAGACTGAAGTTCTCATAAATATCTTTAGATAAATACCTTGGGAAATTTCACTTTAACAACAGAAGAAAATTTCCTCAGGGATGTAAATTAATTACTAATATTTGATTTTTCTCATCTGAAGAAAAATTATACTGCAAATCTGTAGAAGTCTTTTTAGATTTTACTCTGTAATAGAAATACATACGAGATGGAAAGTTTTAACTAGTGACGTTATTGAAACCTGTATGATTACTGAAAGATTTTTATTAAAAGATTTAAAATACCAGAGACGGGATCCAATGGCTAGGAAAGGTTAGCGTCCCCTGTTAGCCGTTAAAAGTGATTTTTGCTTTTTGATTGATATAAAAATAGTTTGCTTATAAAGTAGCATAATAAGTGTGCAAAGTACTACTATTTCCAACAGATTGCTAGATGACCTTGTTTTCTGGGATCAATTATCGATATTTTACATGAGGAAATCTAACATTTTATTTAAAGCACACTCGGAATTTGCATGTGTAAAAGCAGAATCAGAATCACTTTTAAGAAAGTTTCATAAAAAGGTATTTTGTGGAATAGAACAACAAGACATACAAGTTTCTATTTTTTCAGGACGCTATTGTCTTTTATTAGTCGTATGGAATAGTTATATAAAGCATAGTTACAAAGAATATATAATTTGATAATATTGCTGCATGGTTAAAAAAGTTTAAAAGTTAATTTTTTTGTTTGAATTATAAAACTTTATATTTCAATTACTACAGTTAAGGAATATTTTGTAGCATAATATGTATCACATTTCTTCAAATCATTCGAATAATTTTTTAAGGTTATGGTAATCAGCATTGAAATGAAAACATGACTTCATGTTTTTGCTAACGATACTACCAATGTGAAAATGTTTTGCCCATGTTCCAAAGCTTGTGTCCATAAACAAATTAAATTGAAGGATGCTATGGAGGAGTACGCATCCTTTGTCGTCCTGTCACCAATGTGTAAATTATAGACTAACAATAAGTATGAAAAAAGTCAGTCAGCATTTGAATCAATGATAAATTGTATTTGCTGACAAGGTCATTATATCGACCATAGAACTTAAAAAAATGATGACATATGAGATCGACATAAGAATGGAAATAACCATAGATAATTGACAAAACGTTGACGAAATATCGAAATGTATAGTTGAAGGCCACAGCAAGTGTTTTCTTCTTTTCAAGTACAAGATTGTGGACAAATTCTGCTTCATATGAATACAAAAATAGGTCGAAAAATCCCTGTTTACAAAAGTTTTTTTAAGCCTTCAGTTACACTTTTCCATTTGTATACACAAACTGTTTCTAAATTTATCATCGATTTGAATTTACGGAAGCGTAATTGCTAATTTTTTTTTGTTTATTTGTTTAACGTTCCTTTTTTCAATCATGTCCCTTTTACGTCCCTTTATTTTTCAATCACTTTGGGCGTCATCACTTGCCGCCAGAAAATTCAGATTTGAGCTCAGCCCTTATGGCCTTTGATGAGTGAGGAATCTTGTTCGTGCCAACATCAGCTCTGACACACAGCCCCTCTTTATAAGGTCGCCTCTAAAGGGCCGGTTTCCAAGTTCCCCACCGGTATTTTAATGCGCAGAGATCAGGATCATGGTAAAAGGATTCAAACTTTCAAAGTATCAGAGAGGGATATACTTGAAAGTATTGTTCGTTTCAGTTTTTGTAAATGAAAGATATTCAAATTCTCGAGTTGAATTTATCTGATCGAACAAATAAAGATAATCTACGAAGGACTGATTTGAAACTACAGGTAACTCTCGAAACCTCGAAGTCCGCGGGACCGAGGAAAAACTTCGAGAGATCAAGAGTTCGAGTTTTCAAGAGTCCGGATTTTTCCGGGTTTGTTTGACAGGTTTTAAAATTAGTCATACCGGATGTAATGATTTTCATGCAGTTCTTACCTTTTACACGTGGTTTTTACAAAACAACGATATGTTTTCGTATTTTAAGTGAATATTTATTAAACTGAGTAAAGCAAAAAATGTACATCGTCAGTTCGTGTTTTTAATTTTTTTTTTATCATACGGATATCATTCTATTCATTCGTTATATGAAAACGGCATAGACCAGCATCGCGTGGTACAGTGTACATGGCATTGTTACTTTTCCAAACATGTGCATTGAACGAAATTCTGTATATATTTGTCCATAAAAAGTCGTCATATTGACAGCAAGGCTATTTCTAAATTTTCATATTTCGTTAAACGGTTGAAACTGATTCGAAATAAATATTTAATTCATTAATTGTTTCGTCTTGTAATCTGCAATTACGATTTCTCAGCGACACTACGTTTCTGAATTGTCGTAATACAGACAATGGTAATCATTTTGATAGCATATAGGCACCATAAGATTAATTATAAATCAATTATCACCTTGCAGAATAAGTGTCACCTGAATAAACATCCCGTTTCACGAGACCTGGGGTCATTAAATGTCCAGGTAAAGTTGCTAATTATGTAAGTTTGTATACACAAAGCCACTTCGAGGTATCAAAGGTGAATTTCAATAGAATATGTACAGCGGGACTGCAATTTTACTTCGAGAGATCAAGGGTTTCGAGAGATCAAGAGTTCGAGAAATCAAGAGTAAATTTGCTTAGTTATATAGGGAAAAAATTCGGGACCGGAGACTCACTTCGAGCGATCAAGAGTTACCTGTATAATGCTGTCACAAAAAGTCATATTTAACTACAACAAAAGTCGTTGTGTTCAATTGTTATAACTTTGAAAAAAAATCTAATTTCATACATGTAGAGAAAACATGGAATTACATTTTGTCTTTTATATTTCTATTATAATTATTTTCTGTTGATATCATTATTATTAGGTTTCAAAAAAAGGTATTAAATAGAATGAAGTATATGGAGATGAAGAACAGTATCTAAGCCGAAAAGTTCATTCAAAAAATACAAATCTGAAGCAGAGCAAATACGGACCTCTAAAACACTAGAGATGGGATCAGGTGACATGGAGGAGTGGGCATCCCCTGTCGACCAGTTACACCCGCTGTGTCCTCCTTGTCATTATAGGGAAATTCAGTGTGAAAATAATGGCCTAACAACAAGTATGACATTCTTGTTTCATAAACTTTTTGTCATTTATTTTAACCTACCTCGTTTTAGAATTTTTTTTCATAACTAGAACATGTTCTTGTGTATCGAATCATGTGAGATATATAAACTCCGTATAGAAGTGATGGAGTAACTTTCCATAGAATCCATAATATTTTTAAAAAAAAAAAATAAAAACACCGTGGTTCCCCAAATTAAAAACATTTTATAAATAAAGATCTGAAGTCCACAATATTATTTATATCAGGTATATACATCACAAGTAATAACGTGTCCAGCAGGACAGCAGTTATATGGAAGACAAAGAACACGATGGAGGATTACGTTTCAGATATTCGATACTTAAGCTCTGTAAAGTTTTCTTATGATGAAAAGGTTAGTCGATGAATATTTTTAGGAAATACAACGTATAGTCTTCAACTTGAAATATGGTGGTATACAAGACCGGGCTCTTTCATCATAAAAATATATCTTAGATTAACCGTGTCAGTTCCTTTGTTGGTATGTTGGAGTTTAAGGAAAAAAACGAGTTTGAAAGGACAATCAATACAGTATTCAATGAATTGAAGATGAATTCATAAAAACAGTATTTGATATGTTAACAATGAAAAAGATAAATTAATTCTTTATAGAATCCTTAATTTTTTAAGGCTATATAAACATGATAAACTCCTCACCTATGCCGATGACGTAGTACATGACGAGAGATTTAGGGATTTCGAATGCACGTACAATCAGACGATGCAAGTGGAACCCTTCACAAAACATCCAAAAGTAATTAGCAGACTGGGTATACCGTTTTAAAACGTAAAAAAACTTGCATCCTCCCTACAAAACAAAATAAATGACCACACTTAAAAGCTAACGAGTCGCACAATCTTCATTTTGTTGCATTTTTACAAAAATATACTTCTTAACTTTACACCAATCTTAGTTATTATTATAAAGCTCTAAATTTTATTTTTGGATTAAATTCAATTTCTAAAAAAAACACATAAAAATAATGATATAAAAAACAAACAAACTTGTTAAACATTGAGTTGTTTTGGTAAGGGTATTTGTGAGTAATTTTTCTACCATATTTTGTTCAATAATGCTCGTGCCTCCAGCATTGTTCATTCTATCCGAGACTACAATGAAGTCCCACAATACGGCGATGATTGAAGTGGCGATAAAGGAAGAGAAGAAACAAATGTGAAGACGAACTCTCTGCTGATCTCGAAGTTGTCTGAAAGAGAATGACTCTCATTTTATTCGAGTTCTTCTGTTTTATAAAAGCTCTTCTTTATTTATACTAGCCGCTCCCTATTTATCAAATGCTTATATCGGATTCTTTTGGTGGAATTATATATGCTTTTGTGAAGGAAAAAAACATTAATTCGTTCAATTTTTCTTTTCTTATGATGTAAGTCTCACAAATTTTATTGTATCTTTCGTGTTTAGGGTTTTACCAAAGGTCAACATGTCCAAAAAAAATTAATTTTACAATCTAAAACAATGTGGTTTATAAAGTTAAAACTTGTACAGTTTATTAATATATCATAGATTTACAGATAAAAGGTATCACTTTATCTATTATCCAAATTATTAAAGGAAATATTAGTTGTACCTGAATGCCAGGAATATGATACAGGATGGAATAAGGAGGGATAGACTGAGAAGATTACAGCCCAGTCCTAAGTAGATCAGTATCATCTGACCCTGTATAAAACACAATCATTCCCAGGATTAAAAGTCTCACAGAGTATATAAAACCTGAAAATTATTAGTTAATTAAAGAAAAAGACAGAGAAAACAAAATTTTAAATGAGGAGAAAGGAAGCACCCTCTTTTACGCTTTATGGATTAATTTAAGGGTTTTATTCGTGTAAATGATTTCGAATAAAAATGCTTATTGAAAAGGACTATTTTTTGTTAATAGTTTAAATGAAACATTATACCAAAATGCAACTGAGAAAACAAGAAAGAATTGTTTCAGTTCTAGCCATCTAACCCTACAGTATAATACTGAGCTTGAACAATATTTAAGCTCAAAAGCCAAAACAAATACAAATCAGGTGCATAGCTGGGCAAACCCAGACCCGCAAAACATCAGAGGTTGGACCAGGTGCAATGGAGGAATGAGAATCCATGTCACCCGAACACATCCGCAATATGTTCAATGTCATGATCGTGAAATAACGGAAAAATCCGTAGACAATTGTGTGTAAGTAATGGCTTAACAATTAGTATGAAAAAACACCAGCCAGGATTATACTTAATGATAGATTGTTTTAAAAAACGATAAAGAATAAGTTATACTAGAAATCGTTATCATTCAATTAGAAATTTTAAGTAATGTGTTTGAAGTTAGCATTTTCAACGTTGCTATTGCGACAGATGAAAACAATTATTACAATTGAACTTATTGTTATGTCCCAATATTGGATAGATGAACCATACCTTGACCTTACTGTGGACACAGGTACTGTAATTTGTCCACTGTCGCCCGGACAGGGGGTGCACAAACCACGTGCCGTTCGGCCAACACACCTTATAGGCATTTTCTGTAAAGATAATCACAGTTTTAAAAAGTTTGCATCAGTTTTGTTTTATTATGCGCCCGGATCGATAGATCGGGGGCGCATACTGTTTTTTCCTCTCTGTCTGTCTGTTTGTCTGCAAACTTTAATCTTCGCCATAACTTTTCAACCATGAAAGATAGAGACTTCATATTTGGTATGCATACTTTACTAATTAAGCTCTTTCAGATGACACCAAGGTCAATCATCTTTTGACTCTGACTGTGACCTGTATGTTAAAAATAGCTTTTTCGAACTTTGTTGCCGCAAGGCTCATAGTGTTTCACAAACACATCTTGTTTTTGTTGTGTAATTAAAACTATATAATTCATGTATGTGTATCATTAATTTTCCATTTATTCCTGAAGGGGGAAACGTCCTGATGCGTTGTTACTTATATGAACTAATTGCCGACGGGTTTTTATATTTTTTGCAATTTGATACGTTCCTTCGCTTTTGAACAGCGTGCTAGCGACTTAATACTTCCGCTGGCGCGTTTTTTTATGCGCTGTTGCAATGTTGAAAATGGTCCTTTTTAGACATCATAAAAAATTGTTTTTTAAAATTATTTTTGGCTTACTCTTCGTAGAGAACTTCGATCAGAATTAGAGAGAAATAAGGACTATTTGAACATCTTTATGTATTTTTAGTAATTGTAAATATTTACATTTCTTATTGTATTCCCTGTGACTACTCTTTGAAAGTTAAATGAGCTGATTTCTTGTTGATAATTACAACTGAATGTTTATTTCGACAAGGGAGCCTAATATCCATGTGAATCACGGCTAGCTGCCTTTGTATCTGATATAATGGGCGAGGAGTATTGAAATAAAAATGGGAGGGCTCGTGTATTTTTAATTTTAAATTTGACATCATTTTTAATATATATTAATTTAATTTAACATATAAATATAAATATAAGGAATCACTGTCTACATTGTTGGATATGCCAAGGACATCAAAGACAGTTTGTAACATCGGCTGGTTTGTTTGTATCAGGAAAAGAGAAGTGTTTGACTGGACCGGGAATCGAATCCGGGACACCTGCTTTCTATCTACAAACTGATCTGCCAAGGCCAATATCCACTGCCCAAACCATTACACTTGCATAGCAGACTTTACCAATTATGCAAATTTTCGTACATTTCTAATTATCGTTGATGCCCTGGCATACCTTATACTCTAGACAGTGATGAAACATATGGAGATAACTAACAGAATTCCAGATCAAATGTCCATAAAACAATTCAAAATAGGAGCAGAGCCGACACGGACCTCCAATACATCAGATGTAGGATCAGGTGTGGAGTGAGCATCCCCTGCTAACCGGTCACACCCGCCGTGATTTCATAGATTTTTTTACACTGCATAAATGATACAGAATGAGTATTTCAAAATATCTATTGTGACAAACATGTATCATATACTAATGATGTGCAGTATTTTCCACTATCCACGATTTATACTTCTAGACAAGTATTTATTTCTGATTAACACAAACTCTTCTATATATGCACAAAAAGAATACTAGAACTTCATTTTTAACCTTTTTAACACTTTTCTTAAGAGCAATTACATACAGAAATGTCTATTAAATTAGAAAAACGTGATGGCAGCTGCCTTTGTTAAAATAAAAAAGGGGAGAATGTTGACTTTTAATGAAAATCTTTCGAAAACAGATATTTCCACTCGGGCAATGTCAAGATATTAAGTGTAATAAAAATTTCATCGATTTCGATCCCGAGCGATTTATTTCTAGAAATGGCAACAAAGTGAGATTAACAATAATTGCATTACATTGCCTTGAAGTGTCGTAAGGAGACAATTGACACATTTTAATTCGATTACAATCGTAGCTTCGACGATATTACAGTTTGACAATTCAGCACAAAAATTGATTGACATATTCACCAATGTAAGACTTTAATCACCTTAGTACGGCTTCAAAAACACACACAGGGTTTGAGAAATAATGAGAAATTACATCTTTTGGAATCATGTTGAAATACCTTTTTATTGTGACATTGACTACCACTGGTGCTGCTACGTCTTTGAGACCTATATTTAAGAAATAAACAACAATGTTAAAAAGTTCTCTGGGAAATGAACTTTTAGTTGGTCACGTGATCAAATCCTTTGAAGCCCGAAGGGCTTCTCGGTAAATTTGATCACGTACCAACTAAAAGTTCATTTCCCAGAGAACTTTTTAACATTGTTGTTTATTACTTATATCTACATTTAAAACGAATACATTTCCAGTTAAATTGTATTTATTACACGAACGGTCCAAGGCATTGCTTTGTAGTGACGCGCAATAACCTAGAAGTTGTTTGGTCAAAATATCACATCGCTCTGTGATCCGGTTGCGCTATGACCTTTGACCCCCAAATGAAATTCACACAGAATTGAACGTATTTTCTCTTCAATAGGTTCATCTAAGAAGATATTTGCAAATGTAAATATTTCTACGGGTTTGTTTTAAGTCACCTTTGCATTTTGATCTGTTCTTGATTAAATTAAATCTTCAATACAAAGACATTTTAATTGTAAAACCTCATTCAGATCTCAATCGGAACATGGTTTTTGAATTAATGGTTGAAAAACGGTGAAATCAAAATTTTAGACTAACTACAAAAATTATATCTTAATGTAAAAATTATGACATTTACAAATTAACCATGCACAGGGTCGAACATTTCAAAAACTGCCTGTAAGGCCAATCAAATACTGAAAGTAGCACAAACCATATCGTCGACAGTTTGGACATATTTCTCAATATCACTTCAGATGCCAGTTGACTGTAGTGGATGTCAACCGAAGTGTGTATGTTTTTAAAAGTTTAAAAGCACTATTTTGCAAATGAAAAGCCAAAAGAAAAACATTTCCTCCCAATAAATGTTTTTTATTAAAAGTCGAAAAAGATTGCTTTAACGTTGATTCAGAAGAACACTTCGGAGATAATCACTTTTGAGTCAACTGTTCTCCGCCGTTTCACTTCTATTTTTAACAAAGAAATGTTTCCCAAACTCAATAAAATCTTTCAGGTACTTATGTCTTTAAGTGTTTATGCCCAATCTAATGTTTGCTCCTATGCTTTCTTAGAATAAAAGAGGTTTTTGAAGAATTCATATAGTACTCTTGTTATGTCGACAAGATCACTTCATGTACAGTAAAACCATAGTCATGTATCAGACAGCAGAAGGGCCTGTCTTTTGACATACCTCTAAGTCGCATTTCACAGAAGTCTTCAGAAATAATGTAAAAACAAAAAATTCAAAGTTGTACGGAATTGAAAGAAAAGACAAATCGTTCTCCTTGACCGAAAGTGTATTTTAAGATCAAATAGTTGCATAAAGTAGAAAACACATGTATCCTATTTTTCAAAAACTTTTTCGTTTCATATAATTTGAATCTCTCTCAATCCTTAGCCACCTGCAAGCGTCATGAATCAATTATTTAAATGTGTTTATATCATAAAAACTCAATTTTGAAGAAACAATATGACACCTTGGCCTACAGCATAAAGTAAAACTAGAAGACAAAGCTTCTAAGAGATATTTTGGGAATTTTCTCTTTTTTTACTTTCTGACTGGAAAAACTCTTAAATCAAGATTTTATATGACTTCCTGCCTGATTTTTATGAAGAAAAATCCTTTGCCAAAGTTCTGACGGCAATAATCTTTTTGTGGGTATTAAATTATGACTTTAGATTATTAGCATCTTCTTTACATTTTAATCTGTTTTAATATTTAACATATTGGCAAATAACAATGCAACGAAAAATTTACAAAGATAAAAGTGGGCCTGAATGAAAGGTTTATTTTAAATCTTTACCATAAACTTATCAGAGGCCAAACAATTTAATTTTTTTCTAGTATGAAATATATTGAGACAAGGAACTGTTACAGTATTCAAGCTAAAAAGTCCATGAAACAATACAAAAAAGAAGCAGAGCGCGCAAACACGGACCTCCAAAACATCAGAGGTTGGATTAGATGCCATGGAGGAGTGAGCCTCCCCTTCCGACTAGTCACTGTCACACCCGCCGTGTGCTCCTTGTCATGATTGGGAAATAACGGGAAAATCCGTTGTGAATTCAAGGTGTAAATATTGGCCTAACAATTAGTATCAACTTCCAAAAAGAACATTATTTTTTTAAGTATTCTGATAAAACTTTACGGTTTAATTTGCCATGATCAGCGATATCAAAATAATTGCAATAAATTTCAAATCAGAACTCGATGGGAAATAAAAAAAATTCTTTAATGCGAGATACTGATCTACAAATCTTGTTTCAAGTGTTGATTTGTCAGATGGGACCTCGTTATTTCAGGATAACACTCGGTAGATAGGCAGATTTATGAATACATCGAGAGATAAAGAATGTAGCCGAACTTTCTACCAGCGAAGTAAACATTTACAAATCTATTTCAGCATGTCAATTTCACCGAAAAAACAAACCCAAGTTTGTGTTTAATTTTCGCTATCGTATCTTTATAGATATACACTTGTACATTTGTCAATGGTGAATCTGTTAAGTGTAAGGAAAACAGACCACAGACATTGCACGGTTTGTAGGATAGAATATTTCTTACTCTCTGCTATTTGAGCTCATTATCCACTTTAATTCTTACAATATCTAATATGTTTTCTAAATAGTAACAAAACTCACACTCTAACAAATAAGTTTACCAATGGTTTTTGGTTGACTATGATTTTTCTTAATTCAACGAGTTTTGTGTTTCCTTGGTAAGGCGATAAAGACACCTAGCGATTTTTTTTTTAATAAATCATATCAAAATACAAACCATAAAACATTCTTCTTATCACATGTTTTACAACATTATAGGTATAGTATGAGACGATTTTAATATGCAAATCCAAAATATTTGATTTGCCTCAATTCATGCAAAAATTATTGTGACGTCACATCTGTGGATATGAAAACAATATATCCTATGAAAATACCAATTGTTCAAGCTTAG